TGCTTGTATCGTAATAGGATTGTAGCTGCCAAGGACGGGGGCAGCCTGGCTTTACTTTCCACTCTTGCACTGATTACTGCCTGATCATTACAAACCGGATGCTGTGTCATAGTATGCAAACAGAGAAGGAAATAACGTAGTTAAAATTGGGGATATTCTTTGTGTTTACGTGAACTCCCCCGTCCTGGAGCTATTTTAAAGCTGCTGTTACACCTCAAGTGAATACACTGGAAATAAATACTCTGCAGCTGCTCGTTATGCCATGAACTGCCTGAAAGAAAATCTCTTGCGCTTTTAGTTTACACATGCTGCTGTGGTCTTGAGCAAATCCAGGTACCTGTACAGATGCAGAGCATATTTTGGCATCTGTAAGCAGAGACTGCGCATCTGCAGACTGAATGCTTCTCCCAGTTCCCTTTCCCAATGACTATGTCATCCATCACTCATCACCTACCAAGCAAAAGACTTCAGACCAAATCCTTTAGTTTTGTAACAACTGCTGACACCTCAGGTTTTAGAAACCCCTCTTTATAAATTGCTCAGTCCACCAGGCAATCCAAAAGAACCCACTGAAGTCATGACACCATCCCTGCCAACAACACCAGCAGTTATTTTCAGCAGCAGCAACACCACCCAAGGCATCGGGGAAGAAGAAAATTATCACAACCTCTTTCAAGCTGGAAAACAGAGGCTGGGCAAGCAGGCCAGCAAAACATGCTGACTCTTTTGGGGTAAAACCACACTCAACAAAGAACATCCTTGCATCGAGGGCAATGTTTCTTTGTAAGAAGTGGCAGGTAGTTAATGGTAATAGCTGTTAAATGGCAAGTTGGTGGCTAGGCTACCTTCCTGTTACCTGGGCACAGCTCCCAGCCCAGGGACCTATTCCTTAAGAGTCAAGAAGATGCACGCTGGTAGCTTGTACAGAAGCAGACCTGCTCAGAACAAATCACTACTCCTGCTTTCAGATTTGAAGCACGTAAGAAACAATTAAGGTAAAACCCTTAACAAGAAAAGGAGTTGATGGCTCCCATGTTTTCTCCTAGCAGATAAACAAGACAAAAGCTATTTCATGGACCGCACGAGTGCATTCATTTGAGCACACCTTCCTCTGGAAAACAACTTTCCCCCGTAGCAGGAGGCAGTTCAGCAGCACAGCCATCCCACAGCGAATTTACAGGTGGGCTGCAGGCTGGTGCACAGACCTGTATGACCTGCTTCAGGGGCCAGCTCCCGTTCAGCAGTTGCTCTTTTAAGATGACTCTAACCTTCGACAGGGCCACAATTTTTTAACTTCTCAAAGCATCAGACACAGCTGGGATCACCAAAATAAAACCACTGTTTTCCTTCCTACTTCCAGTGTGTTATCCCAATGAAATGCTATTCAACTGCCGTTCTGTTGGTGAGATCTCAGCCGCTGCTCATCTTCAGTCTGTAAGTAGGAAAACGGCAGCAGAGGCTCCTCATGCCAACAGAAACTTTACAAGATCAGTGGCTGATCATCACATGATGAAGCCCCACTTCAAATAAAAGCCGCCTCCTCCAGACATTTCAATGCCCTTTGCTCAGATTGACACATTATGGATTTCTTAGTGCTCCCTATTTGCATCAATGATTCCTGCTTCAGACTCCTCCACGCCAGGAGAAAGCAAACAGAGTAAGAGGAGGATGATGGTACGCAGAGGAGCAGAAAGACCGTACAGTAGTAGCTCTACCTTTGTGCGAGGTGCTATATAAACACTGCACGAGCACAGGTGTATTTACGATGCAACACTTTTGTTAATAAAGTAAGAAAATAGTACTGCAGCTGCCAAGGACTTGCCAGTGATTCCAGGCCAGTGAGGGCCAGGAGTCTCCAGTGCTGGAGCTATTCCAGCTTCTCAGTCTTGAGACAATTTTCCTGTGATGGAAATGAGTTGGGCAGAAGCGATATAGCAAGGGGACAGGAAAATTAGCGAAGAGCAAAGGGAATTTCTATGTTCCACTGTTCACAACCACCACCCAGTGATCAGAAGTACTCACACAATCAGGATCCCCTGCCTGGCTCAGAGCTTCAGCCCTGTGCCTGTGTCCAAGTGCTTCCCGCAATGCCCCGGCAACGAGGGCCTGTGAGCCAGTCCTCCGCACAGCACGGCATCAGCGGGAACAGCTTCTTCCATGGCCTTCACAGACACAAATGAGCTAGCAGCTATACACTGGCTATTCTGAAGAAAAATGACTTCTGCTGAATCCACATACTTCAAAACCTCTCTCATGAAGCAATGCTGTCGAGCAGGTGTATTTGCTCACGAACTATCACCTATCAGCAACTGGCTATCAGCTATCAGCTAACTGGTGGCTATCAGCAACTCTGACATTGCGAGAGTGTCAGGGCCTGGGAAAGATTTCCAAAAATGCAAAGTGCAGAAGTGACAATCTCTGGGTTAAATTAAGCTCCAAGGGATTTCCTGTAGCTTGCACAGGAGTTAGTGGAAGTTTCTTTGAAGAGGGTTCAACACACTTTCCCCAGAAACCATCGCACATTTTAATGACCCCTTTCACACATCCAAGCACTTTATATGCAAGTCAACCTTCCCGGCAAGTATCTTTTTAATAATCTTTTAGTTAAGCCTAGTAGTTTTCATTTCACCAATCATTTACTTTTCCCATTAAACAGATCTTTGTTCAAAACACTTTCACCATTATGGTCTTACAAGTACAAATTCCACCAACTGCTAACACCAAAAAGCAGAATAACTAGATGTTCCCAATTACTGCAACTGTCTAAGCAGAACAGTCACACAACATAAAGGTGCCCTGAGTGGTGCAGTTTAATTGGATATTAAAACCCCCTACGGCAAGAGCACCGCATACCCGAGGGAGAAGCAGGATGCTAAAAAGGAGAGACTGTAGGTGACAACTTCAAAATGGATTTAGAAGATGAGGGTGGAAACTTATGCATGATAACTTCTGGAATGGCTTTGTCACCTTGCTATCTGCCCTCTCTCCAGGTCATTTCAGGTCATGTTGAAGAGCATGGTCCCTACAGAACAGCGCTGATGACCTCGCTGTGCAGATCATTTACCCACAGTTGCCTTTCAGGCAGGATTTTTTCCATGCAAAGATCTTTCTTCCAAGAGAGACTAAGCAGCTCTCAGCTAAGACCGACCCTTTGCTAAAGGGCCCCATCAAAAGCCCTTCAGAAACCGTACTGGAGCTACCTGCAGAGGGCAGTTTGGAGAAGTCTCACTTGCAGCTGTAGCCAGGGTCCAGAGCCGTCCCGGCAGAGGTATCTGGGTAACAAAAGCACATCATTTCAGAAACAACACAACATATCCCTAAGAAGCGAGACACCGATCAGTTCCCTAACCTGGAGACTTCTATGAGGAATGAAATTAAAATGACCCATTAGTGAGGCTGGGAGAACTAATCTCCCATTCATAATGAAGCTGAAGCGTGGCTGTGGGTAGAGGTTCAGCTCGATCTGAGCCAAGGACCTCACCTCAAACATGACGTACCCACAACTGTAAAACACTTGCTCAACTGTTGCACATGCGGAAGGTGCTGAGCAGCCATCACCATTTTTTACTCTATGAAACATGCAAAAAAATGGCACAGCCAGTACTTTACATTAAATAGCCCGGTAGTAAACACAAAGGTACATGACTCCAAAGCTTACTTTCACTCTGCTGCACAACTTCCTGCTTAAAAGGCACAACACGTTAGAAAAGAAATTAGTGAAATTAGGGCAACTGGCAGAGAAAGGAAGCAAAGCTTTCTGACACTGGAAAGGAAATTAGGGCTGCAACTTAAGGACAAACTGGATGCTTCTACCACAGTGGTTAACAGCAGGTTAAGTGTCATTACTAAGTTGCAAAATTAAAAACCTCACTGCCTTAAGTGAGGCAATACATCCACCTCTTCGGAAGTTACAGCCTCGGGGTGTTTGGCAGCACCTGCCCGAGTCTGCAGGGCTACTTTCTAAGGAAACTTTTCTTCACTAACCATTTGAATCTAAATCAAAGCAAAGAGTCTAGCAGACACTTCGGGTAGTACTCAGCCACAGTTCTGTTATGAGAAGCTTCCTTATGTGCGAAAACATTGCAATGAAGAAGACTCTTATGAAATGAATAGCAAAGGTGGCTTAAATTTGGTCTTTCTCCTGCTCTTTGAATTCTGTGTTCTCAAATATTTGCTAATGTAATACTCAGCAGGACGGATTAAGAGTACATGGTTCCATCAGAGAGACAGATGTATTTAAATCTCTCACCCCAAGAACATGCACCATCATAGTGAAAATAAAACTCTCTTTCCATTATTAACTGACATCAGCTAATCACACAAAAGGCATCAGTGCTCCCTTAGATAGAAACATGTACGAAATACAGCTGGTAACTGTTGAGTTTATTAAGGAACTGGTTTGTGGTTGGTTGTGGGTTTTTTTTAAATAACCAACATGACACTTCGCCTCCAAACAAAAAAAAAGGTAACGGAAAGAAAAACTCAGCAGAACGCAAGGAGAGAAGGGGTAGAGGGACAACTCTGGACTGTTCTGACTTAGCAAAGACCTGCACCACCACATCCACAAACCCAGTGCCAAGGAGCCGTCACACTCGAGAGGGCAGGGCCAATTTATCCAGTGATCAAGACTGCAGAGAGAAGTCTCATAGCTCGCACATCCTTGCAAAAATCTCAAGCTGATGCATCGTCAGTTCAGCGAAAACGAGACAGTGCCAGCACACATGAGTGATTTCAGTCTTAGCAACTCTCACAATTCATTACTCAGTGGTAATTAGGTTATTTTTTTCATACAAAGCCAGTTTAAAGTCAGTGAGTGCAATCTCTAGCAGTACAAGTTCCAGAGATCCCTGTGACGTAATGTTCCCTACCAGACACTGCTGGGAAATGGGTCTGGACTGGCCAGAGCACATGCAGCGGAGTGTTTTCTCCAGCCCAGCTGAACAGGTCTCGTTCAGGTAAGAAGCAACCAAGGAGACCACAATCACAAGTGAGCTTAAGAATTAAGACTTGTCCGATTTGTGCGTGCGCTCATGCCTCCGTAGGGTACCTGACTCAGTGAAGGAATGACCACAGTAATTGCAAGAGTAGGGCTTCTCTCCAGTGTGGATGCGGTGATGGCGCCGGAGCGATGCCATCCGGGTGAACACCCCTCCGCACTCCTCGCAACAGAAAGGGTGCGCCCCAGAGTGAGTCTGCTGGTGACTTTTCAGCCTGGCCAGCTGGATGAAGGCCATGCCACACTCCTGACACTTATAGGGCTTGTCTTGCTGGTGAATCACCTTGTGTTTGGAAAGCAGGTTACGCTTACCGAAATCTTTGCCACACGTTGGACAGGCATAAGGTTTATAGTCGACTTCCTTGGAATTTTGCTGATCCTCAGCAGTGTGTTGGCGCACTATCGACCACGGGTTCCTGGCCATGCCGCTTCCCAAGATCACCATGGAGCGCTCTAGCTTGTGCACGCTGCGTAGGTGCCTCCAGACATCAGCCGTGCGAATGAAACCCTTGTCACACTCTGGACATCTGTGCGGCCTGTCACTAGAATGAATGAGCTTGTGCATCCGCAAATATTCCGCGCGGAAGAATTCTTTGGCACAGGTGGGACACCGGTATGAGTTTTTCACAAGGTGAGTTTGCTTATGTTCCTGCAGCTCGCTCATACCCTGGAAAGAGGAACCACACTTCTCGCACTGATATGGCAAAGATTCCCCAGAGAGAGGTTCCAGGTCCTCAACAAACCTGTCAGCAAGAACTGTATTTTCATTACTGTCACGCAGTATTCTCCCTGGTTTCTTGGACTGTGCAGAGGAACCGTGCTCTAAATCTTTATCTTCACACTGCAGGTCCAAGTTGGTACTGGAGGGGACAAATACCCCAGCTGTACTCTCACCTTGTTTCTGATAACAGGTCCCATAGGTTTCTTTGTCTTCACACTTCAACTCTGCAGAAAGCTCCTTCTTACCTGAAGGTCCAGAAGAGTTACAACAGGGACTGCATGTCTGCAAGTAATTCACATCTGCCTCCTTCTGGAGGCTGGATGTGTGGCCCACCTGCTCAGGGGTCTTTCTGGAATAATTCGAGAGCTTCTCATCTGTGTCCCAAATGTTATTCTCAGAGTCCCAATCTATCTTCACATCCATCCTCTGAGGCGTAGGCTGTGTTCATGTGCAGCTCATCAATGATGTGTGTACCAAGAACTTCAGGTCTTTCATGGTAAATTCATCTCATTCTCAGCTTTCTTTAAAGTCCTCCCTAGAAAATAAAACATGCATTTCATCAGTGATTTTTCTGATATTAACATAACATAAAGTCATCACAGTAAAGATTTTTTCCTGATTAAAACAATGAGACAGGCTATTAGTTATGCAGGAGAAACAGAATCATCTACTATTATATAAGTAGAAAATATACATTTAGCTTACAAAATACAGACAGACCACATTTAACAAAGTTAAATCGTCTGTCATAATCCAGCCTTCACTACAAACACAAATTGATACATAATTTCCATTTAAAATTCACCTAAAGATGAGAAATCTTCAGAACTCTGGGATGCAAACACTTTGGGCAAAGTCCTACACCATAGCTGCCCCCACCGCAGGTCTTTTTCCGAGGATTCATGCTTAATCCTTGTTTTTACCGTGCTAAATATGAACTAGGAGCACCAGTCACAAGGTGTTTTCTTTCAGAAAGTAGTTAGATAACGCAATGAGACCCAGAAACTGTGTCAGTCAAACAGCCAAACCCAGAAGCTATGTATGGAAAAGGGGGTCTGGAGAGCTCAGGAGCACCTTTGGCCTCCCATCCTGACCAGAATTATTGTAACTGTCTTGAGGATATTTGGGGTCCCTGTGCCCCTACCAACTAGCACCATGCAAAGAAGACATAAGCAAGGAAAGGTATGAAAGAGATGTCCAGAGAGCTTACTAATCGTCCTCCCAGGCTCCACAGCGCAGCTAGTCATCCTCCAGAGCTGGCCCACTGGAGCAGCTTCAAATTCTCTGGGTAAATTCCCTTTGCAGACCGGCCTCACTAGCAGAAAACATAAGCAACGAAAATTGGTCAGAAATATCCGTCTGAGTCACAAACTTTCTTGTGAAGAAGACACTTTCCTTTATGCCGTTCCAAGGTGTGGATTCACAAGAGCTTTTCTAGCTTCGTCCCAGCAGCCTCTGTTGACAGCAGCTCCACAGGGAGCTTTTGCTCACCTGGTTTAAACCCGCATTCACCTTGAATGAGCTAGTCTAAGCCCAGAAATTGCATTTTTCCCATTCTGACGGATAGCTTGGCAGCTCCTCTGACCCTCACCTTCTCCTTCACACCCACTTTTCATATTCCCTTTGCTCCCACTGTTTTTTCACTTCCTCTTAACTGTTTTTGTCTGGGTAACACTTCTCTGAAGACAAGCACATAGATGTATAAAAATGTATGTATGTAAAAACGTACATATTTCTGCATTTCCATGCATATACAAAGCTAGTTTCAGTAGGTTTCAACAGTCATAAAGGCACTACAGCAACGTGCATTAAGTGAAAGGTCTGATTCACATCTCAGAAAGGCCAGCTTCATGGGAGACACAAGCTGCGCTTTCTTCTGCTGCGATACAGAAAACAAGCCTGAATTAGTCCTCTTCATCAGTCACTGCCTGGAACAGAATGGCTCAAGTCACCCCCCAACTCCGACCGTCCCCATTAATTTAACACCGCGTGCAAACGAGCGGGAACTGTTCCTCACCTCCTGCAAGGGGCTGAGCACCTCCGGCAGCACGTAACTCAACTGCTCTTTCCTTTGTTGAAGGAAAAAAAAAACTTTCCAAAGGAGACTGGCACCGCTTGGCTCACACAAGAACCCCCCCCCACCAGCCTCTCCGGCTTCTACGGAGGGGGAGGGACACTTCAACCACGACGTAGGCTTGAAAACAACAAATAAACCCGAAATAAGTAGTTTATAAACAGATAACTTGTTGCTGCAGGTGGAATGAAACCCCAAACTTTTTCCCCCGTGGCGCAGGGGACCCTCCCGCTCCG